CCATGTCTACGACTCATAGCTTCCACGTTATCCTCGGGGAATCATCGTAAATCTGGACCACGTCGCCACTTTGATAATTTGACTGTTTGTTCCGATGGTCTTGTGAAATTCTCTTAATGTGGTCAGATATTCATTTTTTGCAGACGTATATTGGTATGACGTTGGCGTCGTCGTCGTCCGAAGACACAATGGTTTTTGCACTATAACTTTAGTTTAAGTGAATGGATCTCTATGAAATTTTACCATAAGGTTAAATACCACAATAGGAAGGTTGGGATTGGTTTTTGGGGGTTATGGTACCAATAGTTAAGGAATTAGGGGCCAAAAAGGGGCCAAAAATAAGCATTTTCTAGTTTCCAGACAATAACTTGTGGAACGGTGTATGGACCTCTCTGAAATTATACCACAAGTTTCCATACCACAAAGGGATGGTTAGAATTTGCTTTGGGGGGTTATGGCTCAAACCGTTTAGGAATTAGGGGCAAAAAAGGAGGAAAAACAAGGTTGTCCTGGTTAATGGACAAATACTTTAGTACAAAACATAATTTAAAGCAGTGTAAGGGAGATAAATCAAATACATCATTTGAATTACCTCCCTTACACTGCTTTTAAATTATGTATAAAGTAATGGTTGATGAATAATTAAGACACTTTAAAACAGTGTAAGGGAGGTAATCCAAATACAACATTTTGATTACTTCCCTTACACTGTTTTGAAATTATGTTTAAAGAAATGTATATTTATAAAGGAAGACCAGTAAAAATATCTGCAAATGTTGCATCTTTTTTTTTTAACAAAAATATCCATATAAAAGATTTGACACCATATTTTAAATACTATTATAAAATGGATTAAGTTAGCACTATGGTGAGGGAAAGAATTTTTTTGGGGAAAAGGGGGGGGGGGGGTAAAAAGAAATTGTGGGGGTCAATTTTTTCTCATTTCAGATTTCAGAAATTAATAAGAATTATTCTTCAAATATATTTTTTTTTCAAATTTCAAATATTGAAAAATTTCAAGAAGTAATCTTTATTTGCACAGTATGGCGCATTAGATTTGTAAAATCTTTGACCACATTTATTTATTTGTTATGCCGAATCTGACCGTGTGTTTAGATTTTTAATTTTGGGTCCAGTTTTCAAATTGGTCTACATTAAGGTCCAAAGGGTCCAAAAGTAAACTTAGTTTGATTTTAACAAAAAATGAATATATGGGGTTCTTTGATATGCTGAATCTAAACATGTATTTAGATTTTTGATTTTGGGCCCAGTTTTCAAGTTGGTCCAAATTGGGGTCCAAAATTAAACTTTGTTTGATTTCAACAAAAATTGAATATATGGGGTTCTTTGATATGCCGAATCTTACCATGTATTTAGATTTTTTATTTGTGGGCCCGGCTATCAAATTGGTTCATATTGAGGACAAAATGGTCCAAAATTAAACTTTGTTTGATTGCAACAAAAATTGAATTATTGGGGTTCTTTGATATGCCAAATCTAACCGTGTATTTAGATTTTTAATTTTGGGTCCCCTTTTTTTAAATTGGTCTACATTAAGGTCCAAAGGGTCCAAAATTAAACTTAGTTTGATTTTAACAAAAATTGAATTCTTTGATATGCTGAATCTAACCATGTATTTAGATTTTGGATATTGGACCATAATAGGTAAATTAAAAAATTTAAAGTTCTTAGACCACATTCATTCTGTGTCAGAAACCTATGCTGTGTCAAATATTTAATCACAATCCAAATTCAGAGCTGAATCAAGCTTGAATGTTGTGTCCATACTTGCCCCAACTGTTCAGGGTTCGACCTCTGCGGTTGTATCAAGCTGCGCCCAGCGGAGCATTTTATTCCATCTGATTTGAAATTGTCTAATAAGTTCATGTTTAATATCTGCTTGACGGATCAAAGTAGTAGTAGTGGGTACGGTAAAATTGTCGATATTTTCGGCAATGTCTGACAGATATGGTAGACGGGTTATATTGCAGGAGAGATGGTGTCAACGGTTATGGATCACACAATTCGGATGATACATACATTAATGGTCTATCGTTCAATATTGCTTCAATATCCAAAATGACTGGTTGAAGTATTTCAAACTTAACACAGTTAGTTCCTAATACTTTCTGCAAAATAATTTTCGTAAGTCCAATTTGAAGGAAAGCTTTCTCAATATCTGTCGTTGCTGCATATTGGTGTAATCTAAATCTTGCTTTATCCCAGTTAACTCATTCATTTGTGGCGGGACGGACAAAAGGCAATCATTTAAGCTGGGCTTTTCTGGTGATTCTCGGCAGCTGCAATCATATACAATACTAATTGGGATGGTTGTTGAGTCTTTCTTAACAGCATAGTGAGGAATGTAGTGTTTTTTCTCACCTGCATTTTCATCTTGAACTTTCTCCACAAATCCTCATTTTTCCTGGTCAGCAATAATGTCTCCATAGACTTTGATCATTTCTGGTTCCCTGCTTAATTTATTTATCATACTAAGTGTATGGCGTTTTGTAATATTGTAATTACTAGGCAACTCTGGGAAATCTTCTTTCCAAGGAAGTTTTGCAATATATCAGTTGTCCTTCATTGTGATCCTGTCTGATTCATATGTCTCAAAAAAGTCTCTGCTTGATTTCAACGATTCATCAGAAACTTCTCCCAATGATTCGATTTTCCAAAATCATTCCAAATCGACTTCCTCTGTTTTGTGTTGCATCATGACATTGAACATGCAAGCTAAGGTTGTGGGTCCAGTTGAGTCTATCATTGGTCCAGAAAGCAGGTATCCGAGTTTTGATTTTACTGCGGTCGGGCCTGGTCCACGGATAACTTTGTCTTCTACGATATCCCAGTAGTAATCAGAACCTATTGAAACTGAAATCTTGAATTTATCCTTGTCTCTTACAGGGTGCGCTAATCTTAGTCCACTGAGGTATGGCAGTTTAGCAGCATTGTATGTTATGCGATTTTGTAACGATGCTGCAATAGTGCAAACAATTAATACTTCCATCAGTATTTTCCTTCTATGCTGGGTCTGTAAATCTATTACAGCAGTGTCTAAATTTCATACATTTCTCTTTGCATCTCCAAATGCTGCTGTGCTAATTTTCGAAGTTCCATTTGGTTTTAATTGCAATTCAGCAGCAAATTCTTTGCTAATAAATGACTTCTGAGATCCTTCATCTAAAAGTATATTAGCAGTAACTGACCTGTTATCTACCCAAACTGGTGAGAGTGCTGTCTTTAATAAAACGTCTGTCCTTGGTTTAAGGTCGATGTCAACTTATAGATTGATAATGCATCATTGTCGCTCTCTACTGTGTTTACTGTGGCATTTTGTGGTAGGTTTTATTGTACTTACGTTTTTTCTTTCTTGCTTAGTATATTCCTGTCACAAAGGCTAGTGTGATGCTTGCTATCATATTTCCTTCATCTAAATTGGGAGCGGCATTCCGAAACTTTGTGATTTCAGAAGCAATTGTAATATCCCTTTTTCTGCTTAATTATAGTAAAGAATTTTTCTCTGTCTATAACATTGGTACATTCTAGGGATGAATGCGATTGTTTGCAGTAAATACAAGTTTTGGGTTAGAACTGATTTGTTACGGACTGGGTTCTTGCAGAGCTTTTGGGTTTAGCTGCTGTGTAAAATGACGCAGTGGGAGTAAAACTGTCTGATTTATGTGAATTATCACTTTCCTGAACGTACATCTCTACATTTTTATCGTAAAATGCTCTTATACTGTGTGGTGTAAGTGACAGGTGCATAAGTTCAAGTAAATTCTGCATTTATAACTGTTTGTGTCTGTCCATAACGCTCCTTTAGTAATATGATTGCATGGTCATAGTTGGCGCTTGAAAGAGATAAACCGAATATGCATTGTGAGGCTTCATGATGTATCTGAGATTTGAGGTAGCTGAACTTCTGCGCGTTTGTCGAAGAGGGATTATGATGAACGGTTGTCTCAAATGATTCCAAGAATGTCTGCCATGTCAAAATGTCTCCCGTAAAGTTCGTAGATCAAGTTTTGGTAATCTGTGATAAAAGTTATTATTATTAGTATTAACGGAGTTATTTTCCACTGAAAATATATGATCGGTATGGTTTGAGTTGTGATTTGCAGTACTTGTTGACGGAAAATTTGATGTATGTGCTATAGGAACATAAGATGATTCGCTCACCGTAGGCTGAAATGTGTTTGTTTTGTTTCCAGAAACTATGTCCTTGTATCTGCCAATGGCGACTTCCATATTCAAATTATAATTGTTGGTGTCAAGAATTACTTGTTCCATGTCTCCGACTTCGGTTCCATCTTAAATCTGTGAGTCCAAAGTTTCAAGCAAGTTCCTCATCTTTATCAGTGTTTCTGTAGCAGCCAAAAGTTCTTGATGTTTTCCTTAGTCCTTTTGATCGGTCTTGTGACGGCGCTTCTGTGTCCACCACGAATTACTTTTAGCTTCTCCATAAGTCACAGCATCAAATATCGTTTAAGGTTGTGGTTAGTACTTCGCTTTGAATTGATAAGGCCTGTGTTCATACAAATTGTATTCATGTAATGAGTAGTTGCACACAAGGCAATGTTACGTATACTTTTACGTAAAACAATAGGTAACGTTAGTTACATAGTAAATGAATAGCGGCAAATCCTTGACATATATTTTGAAAATAATTTGAAGATGCAATGTTTTGCCTTCTGTTTTATATATATATAGATTATATCACATCACCTTATTGAACGCAGTATTTATCCACTCGAGATAGCTTAATTGTCAAACTTAAAAATGCAAAGGTTAATGAGCATTATAAAATTTCATTTAGTGGAAAATTTTGATTTCAATTAATGTTCTGAATGGATATGGCAGGAAATTACTCTAGACAAATTAAATCAATATGTGGTTTATTAAAATTTATCAAAACGGTCAGAACCAGTATAAATGCACACAGAATTAGATAAAAATATTTATAAATATATACTAAGAACATGTGATATTTTGTACAGGTGGCACAGCCGATATTACAGTTCATCAAAGATATGGAGATGGTTCACTAAAGGAAGTTGTTCCTGCAAGTGGTGGTCCCTGGGGTGGTAAATCTATAGATGAAGCTTTCCATAGTTTTCTTAAAAGAATTTGTGGACCCAAAGTCATGGAAGAATTAAGAAAAACTGAACTTGAGGACTTTATAGACTTATTCAGAGAATTTGAAACTAAAAAGAGGTCAATACGTGTAGATCAAACTAACAAAGTAGTCGTTACATTGCCTGTTGCCTTAATTGATTTAGTTAAAAGCCATAGAGGTAAAATGGAGACTGCTCTAGAGCAATCACCTTATGGTCAGGCAGTTTCCTACAGCAAGCAAAAGTTACACATTTCCCCAGATACATTTAGAGATTTATTCAAATCTACAACAGAAGCCTTAATAAAACATCTAGAAAGAATGTTTCGTGATGACAAGTTATCGGATTTAGAAAATCTTATTATGGTGGGAGGATTTTCAGAATGTGAGCTTATACAGCATAGAATGAAAGAAAAATTTGGAAAACATAAAAAGATAATTATTCCTGAAGAAGCAGGTCTTGCTGTCCTTAAAGGAGCAGTTTTATATGGCCACCAACCGAAGGCTATCAGCGCCAGAGTACTTCGTCGTACTTATGGTATCCAGAGCTGGCCGGAATGGGACGCTCAAATGCACCCAGAATCAAAGAAAGTTAATCTTGGTGGTGTAAATAGATGCAAGGATGTATTCTTTAAATATGTCCAGGTTGGTCAGCAAGTGGAGACTGGTCATGAAGAGTCCCAGGTATTCCAAGCTTTGAAACCAGACGAAAGAACCCTGGAGTGTACAATTTATGTATCAACCGACCCTAACCCTCGATATGTGACAGATCCAAGCTGTCAGCGACTAGGAAATTTAATAATTCCATTGCCAGAAATCAGAGCTGGACAAACATTAGAGATAGAGGAGACTATGGTATTTGGTGACACTGAACTTTTAGTCCGTGCTAGAGACTTACACACTGGACGAGTTGTTGAGACGCAGTTTGATTTGTTATAGAGTGCCGAACTAGATTATCATGTGCTAAGTGCATGAAGTGATTCATTGTACTTTGGTATGCTTACTGTACATTGTATTTTAGTATATTGTAAGAAATATTTTTCTTTCTTACTTGGTATGGATTTTTATCATATAAAACATAGGAATCAAATTCAATAGTGCCATTGGATAACTATATAGAGGTATCTGTAATTCTGCAAGGGGTAAAATTTATCAAATGTTTCCATTGAGCTATTAATTTTGCAAGCACTAAATTTTATTTAACTCAATTGACAATTAAATTATCACATAGTAAAAATTGATGCCTTCAAATACTATACCTTAATTTCAATTCTTACAGGGAAAAAAATCACTGTTAAACATGTTGAATCAATCATATTACAATCATTTGCATGACATATTCACTTGTACATTTTCAGATCATCAATCTGGAATTGATGCCCCTAAATTGTTAGCCTGATTCTATCAAAATGGTAGTTGAAGCAGAGTTGCATAACAATGTGAAATTGTATGTTTTCCAAATTATATCATTTATAATCTGTATTGATTGAAGCAAAATTAATAATGATGTTTTTTTTATAAACAATGTCTCATTCTTTTTATGTGTTTTAGTCACAGGAGTCAGTAATTGTCAAGATAATTCTGAATGATAATTGTGTAGACTTTCCTCAATACACTAGAAAACAGACTTTATAGACCGTTGGTTTTCCTGTTTGAATTGTTTTAAACTAGTCTTTTTGGGGCCCTTTATAGCTTGCTGTTCGGTGTGAGCCAAGGCTCCATGTTGAAGGCTGTACTTTGACCTATAATTAATTACTTTTTACACATTGTGACTTGGATGGATAGTTGTCTCATTGGCACTCATACCACATCTTCTTATTTATATTTACAGTTCACAATGAATAGCCCCTGATAGGTTTTTGATTGTATTTTTATCAGTTAACCAAATTCAAAGAAATGTTAAATTCTGCACAAATGTAAAAGTTTATCAATTTATAGTAAAGTGGATTAAAGGTTTTTTTGTTATTTGTTCATTGTTCAAAATCTAATATATTTGTTGCAATATTCTAATAGCTTACACTCAAATGCTGGGATTGGTTAATGAAATTGTAAGCAATGAATATGCTACCAATGATGTAATATTATTTTCATTTTGGTGTATGACCAACAAATTACCCATGATCCTCTAGATTATAGTTGAAAAGGGAAATTGAGACATATATGTGATGAATGTGTTCTTGACAACCAATACTTTCTTTGTACTGGCCTGAAATGATTATTGGCACCATTTTAAGAATATCGTTGGAAGTTTTTACCTGTTGGATGTCCTGGTTTACTGTCAAATACTGTAGTGCTGATCTTTAGTTGTGAAGAATTTATGTGTTTTTCATAATAAGGCCATATGATTTTATTTCAGGCCTCAAAACATAGAGAATAATGCCTATTATTAATGGTCACTGCCTTGTATTTATTGATTGATGACCTAAAATAAACTCAAATTAATGTAAACAAGTATAGATAGATTACAAACATATGTAGTCAATAAACATGTTTATTAAATGATATGAACAAATCAGCCCTAATAGGGATAAATCAGCATATGCAATACTGATGAAGTTGCCCTGTTGATGTAAATCAGGAGTTAATATTGCTTTTCGGACAGGGCCAATACGGGAAAAGTCGTATTGGCCCATGGGTTATTCGGGATGTTCACTTCTGGTTTTAATTTTCTTACGCCTAAGCTTACTTAACTTTGGACGTATCGTTATGCATAAAATTGTATCATATTGTCGAGCCTGCGACTTTTGTCGCAGAAAGCTCGACATAGGGATAGTGATCCGGCGGCGTTAGCTAACTTCTTAAAAGCTTTATATTTTAGAAGGTGGAAGACCTGGATGCTTCATACTATGTATATAGATGCCTCATGTTACGAAGTTTCCGTCAGTCACAAGTCCAATGTCCTTGACCTCATTTTCATGGTTCAGCGACTACTTGAAAAAAAAGTTCAGATTTTTTGGAATGTTAAATTCTCTCTTATTATAAGTAATAGGATAACTATATTTGGTATGTGCGTACCTTGCAAGGTCCTCATGCCCGTCAGATAGTTTTCACTTGACCTCGACCTCATTTCATGGATCAGTGAACAAGGTTAAGTTTTCGTGGTCAAGTCCATATCTGAGATACTATAAGCAATAGGTCTACTATATTTGGTGTATGTAATGATAGTAAGGGGTACATGTCCAACTGGCAGGTGTCATCTGACCTTGACCTCATTTTCATGGTTCAGTGGTCATAGTTTAGTTTTTGTGTTTTGGTCTGTTTTTCTAATACTGTATGCAATAGGTCAACTGTATTTGGTGTATGGAAATATTGTACGATGTTCATGTCAGTCTGGCAAGTTTTATTTGACCTTGACCTCATTTTCACGGTTCATTGCTCAATGTTAATTTTTTGTGATTTGGTTTGTTTTTCTAATACTGTATGCAGTAGGTCAACTATATTTGGTGTATGGAAATATTTTACGATGTACATGTCAGTCTGGCATGTTTTATTTGACCTTGACCTCATTTTCAAGGTTCATTGCTAAATGTTAAGTTTTTTTGTTTTGGTCTGTTTTCCTAATACTATATGCAGTAGGTCAACTATATTTGGTGTATGGAAATATTTAATGATGTACATGTCAGTCTGGCAGGTTTTATTTTACCTTGACCTCATTTTCATGGTTCATTGCTTATGTTACATTTTTGTGTTTTGGTCTGTTTTTCTTACACTTTAAGCAATAGGTCAACTATATTTGGTGTATGGAAAGGTGTACATGTCTAACTGGCAGGTGTCATTTGACCATGACCTCATTTTCATGGTTCAGTGGTCAAAGTTAAGATTTTGAGTTTTGGTCTTTTTTTCTAATACTATATGCAAAAGGTCAACTATATTTGGAGTATGAAAGTATTTTATGATCTTTATGTCAGTCGCGCAGTTTTTATTTGACCTTGACCTCATTTTCACAGTTCATTGCTCAGTGTTAAGTTTTTGTGTTTTGGTCTGTTTTTCTTAAACTATAAGCAATAGGTCAACTATATTTGTTGTATGGAAGAATTGTTAGCTGTACATGCCTGCCTGGCATGGTTCATCTGACCTTGACCTCATTTCCATGGTTCATTGTTCAATGTTTAGTTTTCTTGGTTAATGTTAAGTTTATGTGACAGTTGTAAGAAAGCTTTATATTTAGGACTATCAACATAATATCAATGATTAGTAAAGAAGGCGAGACATATCAGCGTGTGCACTCTTGTTTAACTGAATATCATAAAATAAAAGTTTAAATGATGTTCAGTGTTTTGTAACGTTCGGAAATGGAAATATTTCACAGCCTTTACAGTACCACTTTCGATTATTTTCACTGTTTCATTTCTGTTGATCAATCATCAGAAGGCAGACAATTCAAGACCACAAGAGTAAGAATAGTTAAACTGTCTGATTTATTCTTCCCAGCTACTTTATATTTGCTAGAAAAAATGAATTGTAATAGCATAAGATTAAGTACTTGGACGATAAATCGGAAATTACATCTGACAATGTTGACAAAAAATCCATCGTGAATGCCAAAAAAATACCAAACTCTGAGGAAAATTCAAAAACGGAAAGTCCCTAATCAAAGACAAAGACAAGTTCAGATATGAATATCTGAATCTTCTTCGCGGTAAGTTTCTTAGTTTAATCAAAGAATTAAAATCATTTAATAAAAGTGTTATGAACTTGCTTTCTCGATCAGCTGTATTGGCCCTCGACTCTTCGAGTCTCGGGTCCAATACAGCTAACATCGAATCCATAACAGGGCCAATATAGAAACAGCCAGTTAATAACACTATAAAATTTTTTCCAACTAGCCTTTAAAGGCTTATGATGCACTGTCATTTATGTACGAAATATAATAGTATATTTGAATTTCCTGATTTTCACTTTGAAAATGATTTCTATACAATGAATCTTGTTACTAAATTTCATTTATTCGTTTCTTTAATCTAGTTATGTCCCGCCTTTGGTGAAGGAAGACATAATGTATTTGAAACATTCGGAGTCTTGACCTTGACCTTTGACCTCGTAAAAATAATTGACTCTTCGTGACATTTTTGTGTCCAAAACATATCTAGATGGTCTATGACATAGGATTTCGATATTTGGCAAATGTTTACAGCACCTTTTAAGACAATGTGTAAGGTACCATTCATGATGACATTGATTTGGACATTTGACCTCTACTGTCCTACAATTGATTTTTATTTATCCACCCCAAATCAATTTACATTTTTGCTTGCCATACATGCCATAGACAGATCTTTTTAAAGACCTAGGGAGTCATACCCATACACAGGCTTAATATTCATCTTTTTATTTCCCCTTTCTATATTATGTGGTCCTTCAATTCTGTATTTTGCCTAGCAGAAATTATAGCCTATATAATTTGTCATTAAAACCCAAACAGTTGACTTGGGTATGAAAATATAGTCATCCCTGGACTTCTCCTGGTCTGTCATTTCATCCCTTGTTGTGATTCTGTCTGGCTCTACTATATGCCTAAATTCGCAGCTACAACTGGTCCAAAACAAGAAGACATTAAATATGATGCCTCATGTAAGGAGAGTGCCACTCCATCTGCACATTTATAAATCCTTATAGCAACTCCTTGAGGGGTATGTAGGTAGCCAGTTGTAAGGAAAAAAAAATCTGTTTCTATGCAACATAGCCTCATTTCCAGTGGCAGTCCAAATGTCCCACCATATATTTAGGTTGACTTACCTTCTAGAACCTAACTTTTGTATTATTTGTTCTCGTCCTAAATTTAGTGATAAAAAACTTTGTTGATAAAATGTATGCATACAGATGTATCAATGCAGATCATGAATCGATTTCAGCATGTTGTTACCTACAAATATATATCATATAACATGAAGTAATGTTTATTTGATTTATACTGGGAACAGTATATCTAACGGGAAATGAATCTGATACGCTTTTCAGTATAAAATTGATAAAATCTCGGACTCCCCGAGACTTCCCGAGATTTACGGATTTTGGTAGCGTCTGACTGAAAAACTATCAGAACTGCTCAACAAATAAACCACATAACTCTAATTGTAAATAAATACAAGTTTTATCATTTAGAAGATATATTTTGTCATATAAAATTACCAAAATAAGTTTGATTTATTTGATGTGAAGTGTTTTATAATAGTTTGGGAATTTGTAAATCATCGCCGCAATGGCCGCCATTTTTTTATTACCTTGTTTGCATTCTGCACAATTCTGTAATGAAATGCTTGCGATTTTAACAAATTTGAAGTGACAGAATACAAGTTTGATACACAAGCATCACTATAAAACTAGTTTGAATGACATTTTATTGATAATATCAGAAATTATTAGGATAATAGCGAGTCCGTTTTTAACACATGTCCGTTTCTGTATCGTATCTTTATTAACTATGGCACGACGATAAAATCGACTACAATCAGGTAGTGTCAAGTCCCGTCAATATATATGTTCCTGATTTATATTATCATTTTTTTTAGTCTGTAGGCCAAACTTTTTCATGATGTTTGGCATTTTATTAAGTATTTAGAAACAATTTTTAAGTCTAAAGAACATGCAATGAACCATTATAGATTTGACTTAATTACGATAGACAGTGATTTGTGGTATATGATCAAAATGATTTATGATATCAGATTTTACAATAAAAGTCCTCTTGTGTAGAGAAGATTCCATTTTATAGGCCATGTAACATATTAAAGCAGAGGACTTCAAATTTTTGATACAATTTGGAAAAATGAAGACAGCAAATTAAGACAACCTCAAATAATAAGGAAAATAACTCTTAAGTAAATGAAAAAATACAGAAAACAAAATGTCTTACGTCATTCCTTGCTATGTCTGTTCTTGCATAGAACAAGAGCAATTTGCACCAACCCTTCTAAATTGATCATTTGGTGAGTTTATCTGAATTCTCCCAAAGCAGGTGTTATTGAAGCTGAATACTGACAGTGCACAGCTATCTTAAATGTGCACGTTGGTGTTGTTGCTGACGATTGAAACCTTCAGAAACTTTCGAAGTCCGTAAAAGTATCTTACTTTTAGTATTCTTGTCTTAATGTCATACTTCATTTTGTGATGTCACCATGCTTTGTAGGTAAGTTACAAGACAATCAATTAAAGTTGTTCACCATTTATTTTGTTGTCCTGTATTATCTTAAGGGTATACGATACAGTTTTTATCCCACTGTGAAATTTTGAGGAAAGTTTGCATTCTTGTTAGCTATTTTTCACCTAGTCAATTCAAATATGTAATAAAAAATATACCTTCATGTGCTACTTTTGGAGATGAATGGGGTCGAAATTTTAGCCATTTACTGGACATTTCGGTTTCTTGAACATTTCTATTCAGCGGAAAGACACAATTTATTTTTTTGTTTCAAAAGATAAACGCAAGTGGAGTTTTGTAAAAACGTGGAATATCTTCGCTACATTAGTGTGTTTTGAGTTTGTGTAACAATTCTTCGGAAATGTTAATTTTTATCATATTTTCATGATTTAAGTAAAAAAAACGGCATTTTTGTCTGTATATTTATCTAACTTAAAAAAAAAATCATCGGTTATTTGTTCATAAAAATTGCCACACACAATCTTCTTGCATAATCAAGCCTAGTGACACTTTTGGGTAAAGATTGCATGACTTGATATATAAATCTTCCAAGGTTTATCACTACTTTTGAGATACACAAAGTATAGTGCATTTGTCATAACATTCTATACATTCTATCCATGAACATTTCTTGAAATTTATCAATGAAAAGATGCTCAGATATTCAAGTTACAAAATGATGTTGTACTTGTCACGAAAATTACATAACTTGTGCAAGGTGCAGGAATTTAATTCTGTTCTAAAAATATCAATGATGTCATTGTTAAAGTAATCTTTAAAATTTTAGTTATCTTCCTTTTTCCATAATTGTAGTTGAATCAACTACAACCTAGTTGAATCAACTACAACCAATTCTTTAAACAATGCAATGTTTAAATTTTACTTCCCACTGATAAATTAAAGCAATCTTTACCCTTCAGTGCTCACAAAAGAGGGGTCCATGAACTCGTTTCAAGTTAAATCAGTCTGAATGATAAAACTTTATTGGTGTTATTTCCTGAAGTTCTATCTTTCCAACCAAACATCCTGGAATTCTTTTTCACGGTTTTCTTTTGCATTTGACTTTTTCTATGAAGTAGTCTTGTCATCTGCATTGTCTTATTCTCTAGGTTTGAGCTGTAACTGCTATAACACATATGTTATAGTACTCTCAATTTTGATGTTAGGGTCCATATTATTTATAGGTTTTAATTCGATATTGTTGATTCCATTCTCAGATAGACAAACGAAATAAATGACAACATATCCTTGTTGCACTCGAGAATTAACAAAAGGAACCTGGTGTCAGGATCGAAGTGTAATATACATGTAAAGTTGTAGAAGCTTTGATTATCGAGGCAATTTTATCACTCATGTCAAAGCTTTTGGAGACCTACATAGGCTTTATGAACCCTTTCCAATAAAGATATTTTCTTTTTCCATTCTGTATGATGTTCCAAGGTGTTGTGGAGGACAAATGTGTATTCAACTTTTGCTTAGTCTAAAACCTGCCAGTTCTCGCCAGAAATGTAGTACAACTCATATTAAAGGAGACAAAAGTGTGGAACAGGTCTGAACAGATGAAACAACACAGATCTAATTAAGCAAAATGAAAAGTACCAAACAATAGAAAATGCAGACAGTAAATTATGTGTATGATAAGCTGTTGGAACAATAATAAAGCGGGTTGATATTTGGTTCTTTAAGAAAAAGAGGGATTATGTGTGTGTGTTTTTTTTTTTGGGGGGGGGGGGGGGTCTGTTGGAATACTTTCCCATAAGTTACAGGTAGTAATGAATCTCATTGAAGCATTTAGTTTATGGAAAAACAAGGAGATGTGGGTATATGTTAATGGGGCAGCAATACAAAGAAAAAAAACCCTACCAAAAACAACGAAAAGACGTCTAGAGGTCACTATCCGTTTGAGACAATAGACACGTCTTTACAATATGTCCTGCTCGAAATCAAAGGGAGTCAAAGGAATTGTGAATACAGTTGACTTAGATTATAAAAGGTCTGCAATGAACACCGAATTCCACAAAACAATGTGATGTATAACAGAAGACAACCACTGAATAGGTACCTGACTTAAAACACACATGTGGAAATGTTGTGGAGTTGTGTATGAGCTTTCGGAACCACTTTTCCTGAACACTTACTCTTCGACTGTTGTGTCTTTGGTGTCGATTAAAACAAATTCCACCTTTGCATTTTATCTATGTATCTGATTAGCCGATTTAAGAAAACCTCAAATCTTCTCAGGACGGCTGCACACATAGAAATCAATTGAACCGAACTTGTTAGATTTGTTTGTGAGAATGTCACGAAGAACGTCTGAAGTGTTTCTTCTTTAGTATCGATATGAAAATATCGAAGCAGTTCATTATCCATTACTGGCTATAGAAATACAAGAAAACGAACATTCATTATGATTTCTGACTGCAAAGGAATATTTAAGTGACAAAAATCTAATAAAACCGTGTCTTATGTATTGACTGTTGTACAAGTTATTTAAGTGTGTAGTCAACGAAAAAGGACAGAAAGATCATTTCTCGAAATATCTGTTTTATAAATCCGTATTAAAAAGGATTTAACACTATTATTAAAACTATAACACAGTCTGCAACTTCTCAATAATTAATTGACATCTAAAAATTAAGGAAAATATCTAAATGAGTATCAATAATGTACGTGTGTCAATGAGACAACTATCCATCTTAAAACCAAAGGTCAAGTGTGTAAGCAACAAAAACTACCATGATCAAGACCGATACCGTTTAGTAAGCTATGAAAGTCCAAGGATAATAAACTGAAATAACATAACACATCATAACAGAGAAATCTGAAGACATGAATTAAGCTAATTACATAAAGAGGCAACAACTATTAAACGGACGGTTACAAACTAAAGCCTTTGGAATACAGACTCATGGCTAAGGACAAACACATGCAAAATGTTGCGAATTGAACATGTTTGGGAGAGGTCACTCAACCCTCGGACTCACTTGGGACAACTGCACAATATAACAAACTGTAAACTTATTTGGAAATGCTTGCAATTGACTCATCATATCGGTACTGATTAGAAAAGATATTAACAAAAAGACAAAAGATAAAAGGTACCGATCGAAGATAAATTGCAGTTATAAAAAATCATGTTTTGAAACCCAACTTCAACTTCATGTAGTAATAACCATGTTTCGCAGACTAATTTATCAATCAGTACATGGAAAAAGGGAGAAAATCTCAAGGAAAAAATGTTTTTGAAGTGTTCTACATCCTTCGAAAACTAAATCTCTAACTGGTACATTTTTGGCACAAATATTTTCTTAGCTAAAAAAAGAAACCGATGATCTGGTATATTAAAATATCTGTTTTATAAATCCGTATTAAAAAGGATGTAACACTATTATTGAAACTATAACATAATCTGCAACTTCTCAATAATTAATTGACATCTAAATGGGCAAAACTTGTTTCGTCATTTATTCTAAAGCGCATTAAATAACTAAGATCAGTTAAATTAGAAGATGTAACATTTAATTTAGCAGTGTACTAAAAAAAACAAAAGTTGTGCTATTAATGTTAAATTTTGATGATCGTCCTTGAAAATCCACGTGCTTATGGTACATAGTACTCTTTGAATGCGCTTCTAAATGCAAGAACACAACACTTTAATCCTTTCAGATAAGTTAATGTTCTTGGCCCATTTTCTGACAAAGTCTTCAATTGTGACCTACAAAGTTCGATTGTTATTCACATTCTAGAGCCGCATAAAAGTCCTAGTGATTGAACAAAAAATCACTCGAATGATGCTCAGCGAAAAGTTCTAGAAAGTTTCTGGATAAAATAACTTAATGTACAAACTGGCATTAACAGGAAGAATTAGCAGTTTTGTTGATAGAGGTGTTGATGTGTATATTTTTTTACTACATATTTACACGAACTGCTACATGTTGACATTTTGCGATGTATAAGTGTGCAGTCATGTCAATGTAGTATTGAGTTATGTTTTGTTTAATTGGATGCCGATAAAACATGACACTGTTAAGCCGACATAATATTTCTATACGATTGTTTTACATCTTGTTTCTATGTTACTATCTTATATCAGTATCATTGGACAAATCTTAAGACTTTCGTAATTTTCGTCTAATCTGTGTATCACATATTCTAGACAACGCGATATTTATTAAATATGCGGGTTGGTCGATTTTATAGACATGTGAATATATATTCATATATGTGTGTATACCCATATATTTCTTTTGTATTCACATATATTTAATATAATGACTGGTATTGTTGTGCTCAAAATATTAGGCCAATTTTCAAGGAGCGTCATTTACAGTCGCTTACGTTTTCTTTTATGTTTTATAACACGCCACGATATTAGTTTGGTTTTCAACCGATAATTTCTCTTCTCTTATTATATAAAATTCACTTACCTACACAAGATTTTATAGGATAAGAAAAGAAACGATACAAGATCTGTCTATTGAAACGATTTTTAATTTAGTAACAAAAAAATGTGTAGACAATAATAGCCTAGTTAGCTTGTATTAGTTTACTTTATTTACATATTAATTTCTAAAATGACACTTTTAATACAAAAATTAAAAAAAATACGGTACTATCTTACATTGGTTTCAGATTCACGTGTGTCAAAACCGTTATATAACATGTAGTTACTGTATAGACTATAGCTTCCTTGTAAATCGTAGCGTATCAAATACCTATGTTATGTCATGTGACCACCTCGACAACAAGAAAAGGATATATGTTGATATGGCCCAAATTCCGTCTAGAAAATGTGATGCTTGCAAAGGTGAAACTATATACACAGCTTCAGTGTATTGCGAGGAATGCGAACAGTCTTTATGCAAGGGATGTAACGACTTTCATGACCGATTTTGTAAGGATCATAATGTTTTTGACATAAATAAAGCAGGTAATCGCGTGTTAAAAGCAAAACCAGTTTGTGAATTTCACAAGAAAAAATACCTTTTTTTTGCAGTACATGTAAATGCCTTACATGCGACGAATGTATGACCAGTTCTCACAATGGACACACAACTGACACAATTAAAAAGATTGTTGATGTGTACCGAGTAAATGCAAAAGAAACCCATGAGAAGTTGAAAGCGAAAGTTGAAATTGTACAGAGGACATTGAAAACAATTAAAACAAACCAAACGCATCAGATTACATCTGATTTTGACTCTTACGTTCTTAAAGTCGAGAAAACATGCTGGGAAATGTATGGAATAGTTGATCATACAAAAAAAATACACATGACCGCTGCATCGGACTTCCAAACGATTGAAAAACAAGATTTGGACATGAAGCGAGTTTTCTTTAAGCGTCAATATGATGAATCATCTGGTAAATTACTTCAGATCGACAATCTACTGAAGGAATCACACGACGTTACTTTTTTTACTGACTGGAAACGTCTTAAAACGGATGTACAGAATATGATTGAAATAGATCAAACCCTCCAAAATCCAAGACGAATTGAAAGTTTTAACGAAGATGATTTTATGAAAGCAGTTATGGAAGAAATAGATAAGAGGCTGAAAAGAAGGTAAGTCATGATTTTGAAGGTATACTTTGAAATTTAACACTTAATTAAATGGTTCCATAAACTTAATGCAACGATAATGCCCGAGGAGAGCTAAAAAAATCGTGTCAAAATGAATAATAGTATTCTAAAAATATGTCACTGGATGTTCAGTCTGAGTCTTTCATTTCCTCCACTTTTCAAAGGTATATATCAGTGAATTGAACACGCTTCATAAATTTGTGTCTGGACCTTACGCAATCAACAACCCAACAATGAGTTATTTTCTGATGTTAGGAAAGGAAGAATACTTTCACAATTACAACTTTTAGCTCTTTTAAGACTACACGTCTTGTTAGTTTTGAAAGCTGGCAACATGGTATACATTGAAGAAAATTTTTCATCTATACCCTCAAGACTTCAATAACACTTAAATCATTCTCTGGTTTTTAAACCTTGGAGAACATATCACGTCACTAATTCATTGACATGTATAAACACAGGACACTTTTAATTTGCAAAACACTCATTTGCAAATCCGCCGCCGCCTCTCCTTAGAGCTACAGTGTCGTGTATATAACCAAAATGTGCGGAATGACATGGGATTCAATAAATTCATTGCTTTTCTGCTGTTATTATTATATATATTTTGCAATTTGATTTAGAAAAACATGGGATTTTCAATATCCCATGGGACAGGGTAAAATCCCATGAGATTGACCATTATCCCATAGGATTTTTTTGGGTCCCATGGGATAATTGTAGTCCCATGGGAAATGTGTTGTCCCATGGGACCAAAAAAAAATCCCATGGGATTTTTAATATCCCATGGGACAAAATAAAATCTTATGGGATTCAAATTATAAATATACAGTAATGTGTATGTTACAATGAATTCTGTTTGGTAGTAAACTGTTTTAAGATGAATCTTTTTAGTTGAATATATTTTTTTCCTTGGAAATGTTAATGCAATTATATTGTTCTATAACTTTTCAAAACTAAAATTTAAAACAACAAACCAGATAATGTAAGTATAAATATATGTTTACTTATGAATTCTAGAATACTTTTTTGAAACACAATTATTTCCCGTTTGAAATCAATGAAAACTCTATTATTAGGCTTAACATACTAGTAGCTTTTTACATTAATTACACCTTATATAAGAATGCTGGATTTTGATTGGTTGGTAGCCAGTGTATTTTTCGCATATTCTAACCTTTTTTTCTCATTTCAAACGAATTTGCATGTTTTTCACCACTGCCGGTGAATTTGCCTCAAGTTCCCCTCTATGCCATTTTGGATATTCCTTTTTTACCCTTGCGGGCTTCTTCCCGCCAAAATCATTAGGATATGGCGTTACATCAAGACAGCGCTAACGCGTATAAGTACATGTATAATTCCCGCGGTATTATGATAGTCTATACTTATCCTCAAAATTATGAATAAACATGTTTATGGGTTACAGCTGACTAGTAAAAAAATATTTCCTTTCACCAGTACAGAGAGTTTCAATCAAAATCTATTCGGTGTAATTTTTAAACAGATATATCATGTTATTGAGGGGTATTTGGGAAAAATACCAGTCATGGGACCAAATTTCCCTTGTCTAGCGGCTCGGGAAATTTAACAGTCCCTCGACTGGTAGTTTTTGCAAATACCCCTCCATAACATGATATATCTGTTCAAAATCTATTTTTTTCAGGATATCTCTCTACCCAAAAAATTAATAGTTTCTTATCATCCAGCATTGTGTGATCGTAATGTATAGTCCACTTTTTTACCATTCAACACAGAACATTGTCATTATTGTGGTTTTAATATCTTTAGGTATTTAATAGAACTTCAATTCATTGACTGAGTGATGAAAATAATAACTGATCTGACTTTTGTCTTTGAATTTATTCTGGTCTTGTTTCTTTGTTTTCTCCTTTTATTCTAAGTGATGAATTTCAATCCTTCTGAACCAATAAAATCCGAAGTTATGGATAATAAAAAATTGTTTGCATACATGTAGCAATAACATATGATTTTCAATAAAAATAGCTACGCAGTATGGATTTTACTGATTGTTGAAGGTTGTCCAGTGTCATCAGTTGCTAACCTCCTACACCTTGGTCTCTGATGGAGAGTTGTCAAAGTAGCAATATACCACATCTTCCTATTCAAATATTATATAACAATCAATCTATGTATTCTTCTTTATAACATTTGGGTATTTTCCCCATTTATATATATATATAGATCAATGTTAAAACTTTAGGCAAGTACAATAACATTCCATTTTTCACAAGAATTTGCAATATATTATACAAAACGCCAACAATAGAAACAGCACTTCTTTAAGCTTCTGAAGTTCTGAAAGAGTTCAACTTATTTATTGTATTGTTTTATTTCAATGAGAAAATACCTTTAACTCTTTGGACATGTTGGAAATTATAACATTGATACAAAAAATTATATTGTTTTTTTCTTATTTTTGTGTTGTTCGGTTGCTGTCTCATTTTTATATATGGTTATACATATATCCTAAATCTTCTTTTTTTAATACTTAATTATTAATTAATAGTAAATATGGGATATTTTTTATTTTGATAATCTCAAAACATTATTATTCTATCAAATGCCTTATTTCATAGTTCACAAAACACCAATGTGTCAGATATTAATTTTAAGACATGTATAAACATGATCATCAAGCAGTTGACAGGATGTCATGCAAAAATCCCACTAATATTAAACTTTCACAAAAACTCCATGCTCAGCGAGTACTATTAAAGTTCTTGGTACAGGACAAATTCCTAGTACAGGACACCATGCCTGGCAAACAGTAGCATGTGTCAATGTCTAGTCAATCATGTAATCAGGCTCAAAATCTTAGTTTGGCACTGAATTTAAAAGTTCACCACATAATGAACATGTGTATGAAATTCAACTTCATGGTAAGTTATGTATTAACCTAAAACTTTAACCTAAGAATGTACTATAATTTCACATTATGACATTTCTATGTTCAGTGATCCATAAAATCAGGGTAAAAACAGTAAATGTGGTGTATAATGTAATAACAAGAGTGCACAAGCTGAAATGTCGCGCCTTCTTTACTAATCATTGATATTATGTTGATAGTCCTAAATATAAAGCTTTACTACAACTATCACATAAACTCAACATGATCCAAGAAAATGAATTCAAGGTCATATAAACCCGACAAGAAATACATGTACGCCTTACAATCATTCAATATACTAAATACAGTTGACCTATTGCTTATAGTTTCTAAAAAGCAGACTTAACCAAGAAAACTAAACATTGACCAATGAACCATGGAAATGAGGCGAAGGTCAGATGAACCATGCCAGGCAGACATGTACAGCTTACAATCCTTCCATACAACAGATATAGTCGACCTTTTGCTTATAGATTAAGAAAAACAGACCAAAACACAAAAACTTAACACTGAGCAATGAACCATGAAAATGAGGTCAATGTCAAATAAAACCAGCGAGACTGACATGTACATCATAAAATGTTTCCATACACCAAATATAGTTGACCTATTGCATTTATTTTTAAAAAAATAGACCAAAACTCAAAAATTTAACTTTGACTACTGAACCATGAAAATGAGGTCAAGGTCAGATGACACCTGCCAGCTAGACATGTAAACCTTACAATCATTCCATACACCAAATATAGTAGACCTATTGCATACAGTATAAGAAAAACAGACCAAAACACAAAAACTTAACTATAACCACTGAACCATGAAAACGAGTTCAAGATCAGATGACACCTGCCAGTTGGACATGTACGCCTTACAGTCCTTCCAAACACCGAATATACTAGACCTATTGCTTATAGTATCTGAGATATGGACTTGACCACCAAAACTTAACCTTGTTCACTGATCCATGAAATGAGGTCGAGGTCAAGTGAAAACTCTCTGACGAGCATGAGGACCTTGCAAGGTACGAACATACCAAATACCGGTATAGTTATCCTATTACTCATAATAAGAGAGAAATTAACATTACAAAAAATCTGAACTTTTTTTTCAAGTAGTCACTGAACCATGAAAATGAGGACAAGGACAATGGACATGTGACAGACAGAATTCGTATCATGAGGCATCTATATACAAAGTATGAAGCATCCAGGTCTTCCACCTTTTAAAATATAAAGTTTTTTGGAAGTTAGCTAATGCCACTGCCGTAGCCGCCGCCGCCAGATCACTATCCCTATGTCAAGCTTTCTGCGACAAAAGTCGCAGGCTCGACAAAAATACATGAACATTTTAAAGTACTAAATTTTGAGTATATACATGTAAAACCACAAGTTACTAACTGAAGTTCATGGTGAACTGTAACCAAAAACTTTAAGCGAATACAATTTAGAGAAAGACAGATGGATGCACAAACACTATCAAAACAGAGCATAAAACTTACCGACCAAGATGTTTTACATTTATCCTTCAGAAGCAGAAAAATTGAAGTGTTTCTTTTCTTTCTCTGCCCCCCATGATATAAACTTCAAATTCATTCATGCAAAATATGAAAATCTGCAAAAGTAGGACCTTGTACCTCAGCGTATCCACATTTTGACTTTTGAACTGCATTGTTCTTTTCATCTTGCTGGCAACCTAAACATTAAAACAAGAGTGCACACGCTGAAATGTCTCGCCTTCTTTACTAATCATTGATATTATGTTGATAGTCCTAAATATAAAGCTGTACTACAACTATCACATACACTTAACATGATCCAAGAAAATGAGGTCACGGTCATATAAACCAAACAAGAAATACATGTACACCTTACAATCATTCAATACACTAAATATAGTTGACCTATTGTTTATAGTTTCTAAGATACAGACTTAACCAAGAAAACTAAACATTGACCAATGAACCATGAAAATGAGGTCAAGGTCAGTTGAACAATGCCAGGCAGACATGTACAGATTGCAATCCTTCCATACAACAAATATAGTTGACCTATTGCTTATAGTATTAGAAAAACAG